AGGAGCGCCACCTACAGTCAAAAACCTTAATGAGGACGCGCGGTAAGGACGCAAGACCCTTGGAAGCCGAAGTTGGGATTTTTGGGGCGGCGGACGACGAAAACCCCAAGGACGCAAGAGCAAGGAAGAGCAAGGACGCAAGGGTACCCTGAGCAAAGTCGCGCGTCCTAATTAGGGTTTTTGACTGTAAAGGCCCAAAGACCAGGTTCGTACAGCGCTCCCCCGCCCACGTCGGCAGACCCGTCACGCAGACCCTGCCCCAGGAGGGGGCGCCACCGACGGCACCAGTGGGCGGCTTCGCGTGGCGTGCCATCCGCCCATTTCGAACCATGCCTCGCACGGGTCGCGCCTGGAGGAGGTCCGCCTGTGGGCGTTCGCGCGGGGGCATTCGAATTACTCGGTGCACCCTGCACGCGGATCGTGCCCTACAAGGAATTCAGGAGTGCAGCAGAAAGCTGCACACTCGCGCTCCGCAACAGCAGTCTTCCGCACTGCCCCCCGCGCGCGCAGTGTATGAAGAGAGACCCGCGCCCTGCGCTACGCATGTCTGCATAAAGATGTCGTCAAACATCTACGACCTTCGGCCCATACCGCTAATGAACCTGAGTTTTGGGCCCGAGGACCCTTGGATACCTATCATTCGGGGTCTCTTAGCATGCTTCTCGGGCGCCACGTGGAGCGAGTGCTGAAGCTTCTTGTGGCCTCATATAAGCCATGCGGGGGCCTCTTTTGGTGCATCTTTTGGGGCCCTTGGGGGCCTCTTGGGTGCCTGCTGCGGCCTCGGGGGCCTGCTCGTGGCGGAGGGCTCGGAATGTCAGCTTGAGTTCCCCCTCTTGGACTCCTCTTGGGGCCCTCTTGGGCCGTCTTGGGCGCCTTTTGGACGGTCTTGGGGCTCTCTTGGGCCATCCTGCAGCTCTCTCCTCTTGGGCCGTCTTGGGGCGATCTGTGGGGCCTCTTGGGCCGTTTTGGACGCTGTTAAATTCAAATATGGTAAACATGCAGCGTCCCCCTAGGGGGTGAAACAATTTTGGCCTCCTGGGGCCCTTTCGGGGCGCATCTTGGAGCCTTCGACGTCGTCGGGGCTTCGGCCCTGTCAGGCCGCTCTGGTCGCTTTTTGGTGGCCTCTGGGATGCCCCGGAAGAAGTCAAACATGTCATGGGGGAAATCCGGGAGGGTATCCCGGCCCAGGCCCCGGGCCCTTATGCAGGGCGCCCAGGGACCCTCACCGCGCCCTGGTGTCCCTGCCTGCCCCGTGCCCTGCGCTCTACCCTTTTCCGATGCGAGCCAGGCGCAGAGACTTTGAAATACCTGAAGATTCCTGAAGACCATGCGTCTCCTCCTCCCTCCTCCTCAGCAGCACCAACATTCACTGGGTGGTGCGACTCGGTCACAGACAGCTCCACTGAAGTACCAACCATGGTTTGAACAGGAAAAGCATACTCATCACGCGGATTGAGCCGAGACCTACGGCCCCAGAGGAATGCAAGGTTCACAGAGCGTCCCCCCGCCAATTTCAGCACGACCCTCACGCATCATGCCCCCCGTGAGCTCCACTCTCGGGTCACGGGACAAAATTTACATGGTGTCCCTCATCCCACATCGGCACACCCTTCACACGGATCGTGCCCCAGAGGAATGTAGTTTCACGTGCAGCCCTAGTGGGAGCGGTCGCATAACGTCACGTCCCCCTGTGTATGTTGAATGTCTCCTCGCACGGATCGTAACCCCGAAATCTGGAACCGGGAACCCGGGACCCTGGCCGCCCACCGAAATCGGCCGGTAACTTTCGCCTAATCCTTCAACCTCCGCTAGGACCCCTTCAGTGCAAGAACTGATTGGGGAACAAGGAATCCCAGCGTTTGAACCCCGGTGCGCGAAAAGACAATATGCGGAGAGGGCCGAATATCTTCCAGTCAGAAGGGGAGATAGGAGGGCAGTATTCAGAATGTTATATTCTGGAGGAGGAGGTGGAGGTGGAGGAGGAGGAGTAGGAGGAAGAGGAGAAGTAGGAGGAAAAAATGAGTAGAGAGTGCAAGGGAGCATAGAGACCCAGACCTCCGACGTCGTGCTTTTTTCGAAGCCTAGACCCGCAAAGGTTCGGACCCCTTCCCAGTGCCGTTTTGCCATCCTGGGCAGTTGTTGTTTCACCGTCCTGGGGCCCTGTGAGGGCTCCCGGATGCAGAATACAGCCAAAAACCTTGCGTCGTGATTTTTGTTGGCTCGCAGCGAAGAGGGGGAGGTGCATGGGGGGAAGGAGGAAAAGGGGAGAAGGGACGTCCGCTCCCGGCAAGGGCCTTCGGGGCCTCCGTGTGCGTCGCGTCCCAAAACGACTCGTCGTCCGCGCCTGGCGACCCGTCCTCCGCGGCCCACTCGTCCTTGCCCGACTCCTTCCCGTCGCCGCCCCTGGCCTTCCCCGGGTGCGAGTAGGCGTACCTCTGGCTGTTCGAGTGCGGGGCCCAGAGGTACATCATGGCCATCAGCACCAGGAGGAAGAGTATGTGCGACACGCCGTCCGTCAGGAACCACTGGTAGTGCCACCGGATGCTGATGCTGCGGGACAGGTCGCACATGAGGAAGATGAGCGTGCAGGACGCGATCAGCAGGGCCGCGACCAGGATCCTCCAGAGCTTCTCGAACAGAGCCAGCTTCTCCGCCTGGCGCCGCTCCTTCAGCGTCTCCATCAGACTCGACAGCGCGGTGAAGATCCAGTAGAAGATGCCGCCGTTCAGGAGCGCGACGGGCAGGAGGCACAGCAGCACAAACGACATTGGCAGGGAGTGGCTGTGCCGAAAGGAAAGCACAGCTCCACGTATGAAATCCAAGACAATGTACCCGCCCGACGTGGCCTGGACCTTCAGGAGCGTCTTGTGGTCCAGATACGGCCGCGTTACGCCCCACCCCAGCGAAGCGACTAGAACCAGCATGTACGAGAAGACAGACTTCACCGTGGAGGACAGGATTGCCACGCTGAAGAGGAACCTCCCACGGAGCCCAGAGTGGTTCCAGTCGTTGAAGAAGATCCACCACATGAACCCTTCAAGTAGCCCCAGGAAAATCACAGCGGCAACGCAATAATGAATGTGGAATAGCTGACGCCACTGGTACATGCACAGCCCCATCCATAGCAATGCGAGTAAGATGTAGATGAACGAGAGCCACCCGTAGAACGGCAACTTGTGATACTCGTTGCCCGGCAGGAAGCCATAAGCGTTCTTCACTACCACGCTTCCGCTGACGGTTGCATCTTGGAAATCTCCGCAATTGGACCATACAAAAATATACACGCCAGTCATACGAACCGGGACTTGCACGTCCTTCGGGTGCTCCTCCCCGAACATAACAGTGTGTACGTAGACATTCAGGTCGCTCGGGTCCTTGATATTCTCAGGCAACCGCACAATAATCTGATCTTTTTTGGCGATGAGCCCCTGCTTAACGTCATCATCTGTGGAGCAAAAGGCGCTCATGTCGATGATATTCTTGAACTCAGTGAAAGGCAAGATGCTCATCTGGATGCCCTCGTAGCCCCGCATTTCGTCGTTGCTCACCTTCGGGTTCGAGGAGTGGCTGACCAGGCTGTGGAACTTGACAAAGGGCTGCCCCAGCGTCTTCTCTGGGGCGTCGTGGTGGGAATAGACGTAGAACGCGTACATCGTCCGTAACGACTTGCCCTCCGGCACGGGCTCCTGTCGGCTACTCGCAAGAGTGACCCTAGGCAAGAGTGACCTTTGGTGCGCGGACTGAAGAGGCGAAAGGTGGCCAACTCCAAGGGCGCAAGCAGACGCTATCGCACCGCGCTCAGCGATCGGAGGGACCCCGCTGAGCCCGCACGAAAGGTCAATCCTGCGAAGGCTCACTCTTACGTGTAATCGATCCTGCTCTAGCTGGTAGATCTGCGCCCTCGCAGGCCGGCCGACCGCCAGCAGCAGCAGCGCCACGACCGTCTGGCCGTGGCCGCGGAGCCGGCGGCGGCCGTCCGCAAAGCGGCTGGCCGTCCACATCGAAAGGGGTCTCCTCGCCCCCGGGGCCGGGGTGGCATGCCCTCCCCCCCCATAGAAGAGAGGCAGTGCTGGGCTCGAGCTGGACGGTGTTTTTTTTCGTTCTCGTTTGGTTTCGGTCTCCTTCGTTCTGTCTTCCTTCCGCCTCTGCTGCACAACGAACTCGGAACGAGAAGGGCCCACGAAATCGCCGAAACACCGTGCAGCTCGAGCCCCGAGGCAGGGGTTGAGGCCGCCCCGGGCGGGCGACGAAGAACGAGAGTCCCTGCCTTCGCGTAATTAGGAGGAGCAGAAGGAGGAGGAGGCGGAGGAGGAGGAGGAGGAGGCGGAGGAGGAGGCGGAGGAGGAGGAGGAGGGAGGAGGAGGAGGAGGAGGGAGGAGGAGGAGGAAGGAGGGAGGAGGAGAAGGAGGAGGAGGAGGAGGAGGGAGGAGGAGGAGGAGGAGGAGGAGGAGGAAGGAGGGAGGAGGAGGAGGGAGGAGGAGGAGGAGGAGGAGGAGGAGGAGGAGGAGGAGGAGGAGGAGGAGGAGGAGGAGGAGGAGGAGGAGGGAGGAGGAGGAGGGAGGAGGAGGAGGAGGAGGAGGAGGAGGAGGAGAGGAGGAGGAGGAGGAGAGGAGGAGGAGGAGGAGGAGGAGGAGGAGGAGGAGGAGGAGGAGGAGGGAGGAGGAGGAGGAGGAGGAGGAGGAGGAGGAGGAGGAGGAGCATGGCCACACTTCGCGTGGGCCTGCGCAAGCCACCGATGAGGCGGGCGACGCGGAGGAGGGGGCGCATGTGCGCGCGACCTCCGTGGGGCAGCCTGCGCGAACGCCGGCGCAGTCGATCTCCTGCTCTCTAGTGGTCGCTCGGGGCTGGAGCACGCGGGGCCGGAGAACCGCATCGCATCGCAGACGCGTCGGCGAGGCATCGGCGTCGTCAGGCTGAAGAAACTCAGGCTCTGGATCCAGTCGCATCGCCGATGCCGATGCCTCGGCGACGCGGCGACATTCTGGTCGACCCAAAAGGGGGTCCAGCTGAAAGGGGGTGGTGCAACAGAGTTGGGGCGAATGTATTCCAATCGTATTGCGCCAGAGAATTGTATTGCATAGTGTTGCCAGTAATGCGCTGCGCGCGAGTCCAGCAACACATTTGCGCTCTGGAATGTACTGCACGCCCCAAATCTATTGCAACCCCACAGATCTATTGCACCAAATCTATTGCACCACCCCCTTGTCCCCAGAGATCCGACGTCGTGATTTTGTCAGCACGCGGTCCCCAGAACTATCCACCCATCCCCCAGGACAGGCCCTTCATCCTGGGTCGTTCTTGAACGGTCCTGGGACCTGGCGAGGGCCTCTAGAGGTCGACATCGGCGAACAAGTCCTCCGTCCTGATTTTTCCCAAGACGTTGGACCCCCTGTCGGGCCAGCCCGAGACATCCTCTGGCCCCCCTTCCGCTCTGGCCCTGCTCGGGCAGAGCCTGGAAAGGGGGGCTTTTGAGGCGTCGAGCCGTGGCGGGCGGCGGCGGCGCTCGGGCGCCTCCTGCCCCCCCCCCCACACACCCCTGGGGAGGGGGCCCAGGGGCGCACGAACCGATCACTATACACACAGATCCCAGGACCCTCCCCATGTCTGGAATCTTTTGGGGGGGGCCTCTCGTCTTTCCCCCCCACTTCCCATACCTACCCACATCTTCCTGGGAGTCGACGATGACTCGTGTCCGCGTGTTTTTTTTTCTCCCCTCCTGAGCCCTACCGTCTCCAGGCGGGCGGACCCTCCCGGCCTCTCCGGACGCCCCTGGTGGCCGGAGGCCCGCCGGAAGCCCCAGGGACTGGGGCCTGTCCAAGAGCGCCAGTCCTCGATCCTCGACGTCGACGCCCACGGATTCGTGTAACATCATCGAAACTAGTCCCGCAGCAATTTCGGACATGTATATATATATATATATATATATATGTGTATATATAGAGATACACATAACTATGTACAGATGTTTCGAAAGAGCGATGAGGCACAGGTCGACCCGACCTGCGCGCGCAGGCGATTGCTAGCGCGCGAGAGGCACGCAGGAGGAGCGCAAGAGTCGCGCGCAAGAGGCGCGGACAGAGGCGCGCGCAGAGTCGCGCGCAGAGGCGCGCGCAGAAGCGCGCACAGGCGCGCGCAGGCGGGCGCGAAGAGGAGCTCCTGGCACCGCTCGGCGGTGCGCACTTTTTCGGCGAGGCCAGCGCCAGAAAGTTTGGGCCATCTTGGAGCAGCTCGGATATGCTCGCGCCATCTCGTTTTTTGTTTTTGTTTTTTCCTCTCTCTCTTTCTCTCTTTCTCGTTGATTTGTTGTGTGCGTGTTTATTCCCAACCATCCTTTGGTGTTGGGTCCTCGTTTTGAAGAAACGTCGCCCCGCGTTCTTCCTCCTCCTCCTCCTCCTCCTCCTCCTCCTCCTCCTCCTCCTCGTCCTCCGCTCATTCCGGCACACCCCTCACACGTTTCGTGGCCTCACGGGGAGCTCCACCGAAGGCCCCAATGCCACCGCCCGCATGCGTCCCCCACACCCACTTCGGCACACCCCTCACACGCTTCGTGGCCCCAGAGGGAGCTCCACCGAAGGCCCCAATGCCACCGCCCGCATGCGTCCCCCACACGCATTTCGGCACACCCCTCACACGTTTCGTGGCCCCATAGGGAGCTCCACCGAAGGCCCCAGTGCCACCGCCCGCATGCGTCCCCCCCTCCCAGTGCAGCGCTTCGTGGCTCCATAGTGAGGTCCACAGAAGCCCCGAGTGCTACCGCCCGCGTCCCCTCCACCCAGTACAGCGTTTCGTGGCCTCACAGGGAGCTCCACCGAAGGCCCCAGTGCTACCGCCCGCATGCGTTTCCCCCCCCACTCAGTGCAGCGTTTCGTGGCCCCATAGGGAGCTCCACCCAAGAAGATATTCACAATTGCGGTATTCACAGCTGCATATGGTTGGGTCCTTCGTCTGGATAATTTATTTGTTTTTCTTTATTTCTTTATTTTTTATTTCTCGCTCTCTCTCTCTCTCTCTCTCTCTCTCTCTCTCTCTCTCTCTCTCTCAAAAGAGAGAAAACAAACATACACATATGGAAACAATGATACCGGAGAAAAACCCAATCAGGGCTATAGGGCTACAGGGCTATAGGGCTATTGAGCTATATGGCTATATAACTATAGGGCTATAGAGTTGTAGGGCTACAGGGCACCCCTGGGCACCCCCAGGCACGCCCGGGCACCCGGGCGTGCGGCGAAAATCGGCGGCAAACCTAACCTAACCATATGAATCCGCTAGGAGCTCTGATTGGGGAACAACGCACGAAACCAAACAGTGCACGGGAAACGGAACCAAACGAATATGGAAACAACCCTCTCATCCGACGTTGCATCATCTTGTCTGAGGAGCAACAAATATCATGGCGAAGGACCCAACCATATGCAGTCAGTTGTGAGTACCGCAATTGTGAATATTCTCTTGAGCTCCCAATGGGGCCACGAAGCGCTGTACTGGGTGGGGGAGCGCATGCGGGCGGTAGCACTGGGACCTTCGGTGGAGCTCCGTATGGGGCCACGAAGCGCTGTACTGAGTGGGGGGGCGCATGCGGGCGGTAGCGCTGGGACTTTCGGTGGAACTCCCTATGGGGCTACGAAGCGCTGTAATGTGTGTGTGTGGGTGGGGGGACGCATGCGGGCGGTAACACTGAGGCCGTCGGTGGAGCTCCCTTTGCTGCCACGAAGCGCTGCACTGGTTGATGGGGGACGCATGCGAACGGTAGCACTATGGCCGTCGGTGGAACCCCCTATGGTGGGGTTGTGCTGGGTGGTGGTTGACGCATGCGGGCGGTCCCAGTGAGGCCTTCGGTGGAATCCCTCATGAAGCCACGAAACGCTGTGCTAGGTGGGTGAGACGCATGCAGGAAGGGCTGTGCTGGGTGGTGGTTGCGTCATGCGGGCGGTCCTACTGGGACCTTCGGTGGAGCTTCCCTATGAGGCCACGATGCGCTGTGCTGGGTGGTGGTTGCGTCATGCGGGCGGTCCCACTGGGACCTTCGGTAGAACTCCCTAGGGGGCCACGAAACGCTGTACTGGGTGGGTGGGGGGGGGGGGGCGGCGCATGAAGGCGGTGGCGCTGGGACCTTCGGTGGAACCCCTCATGGGGCCACGAAACGCTGTACTGGGTGGGTGAAGCGCAGGGACGAAAGGCTGTGCTGGGTGGTGGTTGACGCATGCGGGCGGTCCCACTGAGGCTTTCGGTGGAACCCCTCATGGAGCCACGAAGCGCTGTACTGGGCGGGTGAAACGCAAGGAGGACGGGCTGTGCTGGGTGGTGGTTGCGTCATGCGGGTGGTCCCACTGGGACCTTCGGTAGAACTCCCTAGGGGGCCACGAAACGCTGTACTGGGTGGGTGACACGCAGGGAGGAAGGGCTGTGCTGGGTGGTGGTTGACGCGCGCGGGCGGTCCCGCTGGGACCTTCGGTGAACCTCCCTATGCTGCTACGAAGCGGTGTACTCGGTGGATGAAACGCAAGGAGAAAGGGCTGTGCTGGGTGGTGGTTGCGTCATGCGGGCGGTCCCACTGTGACCTTCGGTAGAACTCCCTAGGGGGCCACGAAACGCTGTACTGGGTGGGTGAAGGCTGTGCTGGGTGGTGGTTGACGCGTGCGGGCGGTCCCACTGGGACCTTCGGTGGACCTCCCTATGCGGTCACGAAGCGGTGTACTCGGTGGGCGAAACGCAAAGGAGAAGGGTTGTACTGGGTGGTGGTTGACGCATGCGGGCGGTCCTACTGGGACCTTCGGTGGAGCTCCGTATGGGGCCACGAAACCTTGTACTGGGTGGGTGAAACACAAGGAGGGAGGGCTGTGCTGGGTGGTGGTTGACGCATGCGGGCGGGCCCACTGGGACCTTCGGTAGAGCGCCCTGTGTGGCCACGAAGTGCTGTACTGGGTGGGTGAAACGCAAAGAGGAAGGGCTGTGCTGGGTGGTGGTTGACGCATGCGGGCGGTCCCACTGGGACCTTCGGTGGAGCTGCTCCGTATGGGGCCACGAAACGCTGTACTGGGTGGGTGAACCGCAGGGACGAAAGGCTGTGCTGGGTGGTGGTTGCGTCATGCGGGCGGTCCCACTGGGACCTTCGGTGGAACTCCCTATTGGGCCACGAAACGCTGTAGTGGGTGGGTGACACGCGGAGAGGAGGGGCTGTGCTGGGTGGTGGTTGGCGAATGCGGGCGGTCCCACTGGGACCTTCAGTGGAACCCCTCATGGGGCCACGAAGCGCTGTACTGGGTGGGTGAAACGCAAGGAGGACTGGCTGTGCTGGGTGGTGGTTGCGTCATGCGAGCGGTCCCACTGGGACCTTCGGAGGCGCTCCCTATGAGGCCACGAAGCGCTGTGCTGGGTGGTGGTTGCGTCATGCGGGCGGTCCCACTGGGACCTTTGGTAGAACTCCCTAGGGGGCCACGAAACGCTGTACTGGGTGGGTGACACGCAGGGAGGAAGGACTGTGCTGGTTGGTGGTTGACGCATGCGGGCGGTTGACGGGAGGAGGGCGGGGACCGTCTCTTCAAAACGAGGACCCAACACCACAGGATGGTTGGGAAAAAGTGTCCCTAGCCATTTCGAAGGAAACCCAAGCTAGGAGGGCCAACATGTTTGGGATGAGGGGTCTTTTGTTTACAGATGACTCAGACGAAACCACACACATGTTGAGGGACAACCCTAAAAACCGATGACCTAAATTAGGCCACGAGTTGATTGTGTTATCAGGGCTAGGAATGGTATCACGGCCAGACTTAAGACATGATAGCACCGTTCGAGAACATGAGACCCTCCCCAGACATCCGACGTCTCGATTTTTCGAGACGCGGGCCCCCGACCTCCCGACCACTTCCCTGGGACCGGTTTTTCGTCCCGAGCAGTTTTTTGACGGTCCCGAGGCCCGGCGAGGGCCTCGCGAGGCCGAAAACTATGAAAAACCCCTGTCTCGATTTTTTCGATACGCAGGATCTCAGGGTCCGCCGGGACAGAAAAACCATCCTTCGGGGTACCCTTCCCCAGGATGCACAAGCACACAGGGACGCCGGCCCCCTGGGCTCCGACACCTTAACCCCCAGGGCAGGGGCCTCCGCCCAGAGCCGCTCGGTTGACGACCCCGCGGGGCCGGGACGATTCGTCTTGCTCGACGACGACGCCGACGCCGACGCAGACGCCAACGACGACGACGACGACGACGCCGACGCCGACGACGATGACGCCGACGACGACGACGCCGATGCCGACGACGACGACGACGACCGAATCGCTCGTGGTCCTGCGTCAGCAAGGCGTCCGTCGCCGCGGGGGCGAACTCCGCCGGCCCCACGGCCCCTGTGGGACCTCCAGGCTTTGGACGGTCACGCCGCAGTGGCTAGGTGGCGACATCCGAACCCTATCCCGACCAACCATCGATTCTCCTGAATCGATGGGAGGCGGAGGTATGGTCCAGATTTCGTAACGTGCTCGACTAATTCCGAATCCTACCTGGGCCGCCAGTCGAACTGCCTGAATCGTTGATCGGCGAGAGTAGGGCTCGGTTGGTTGGCGAGGGTAGGGTTTGGATTTCGCCGCCGATCGGCTTCAGTGCTGCTGTGCGGCAGGAGACTGAGAATATGGATCCTGCCTCAACTCGGTAAGTCCATCCTCTCAGACTCACCGAGGGGGTGGAAGTCTGAGGACTCTAGCCTCCCATGAGCCCTCATGAAATTCATGGATTACGCTGGTTCCTCGCTCCAAGGGCCACGATCCCCTGTGAATCACACGAAAGCCGAGTACTCCAGGGCCACGATCCTCTGTAAACTGCACTGGCTCCGCGATCCTCTGTACATTGCCCGCAAAGCCCCCGAGTGGCGTCTTGCACGACCGAAGGGCCCGCAAGAGGGCCGAATACTACTCCATCAGCGCCCCGAGGAGGCTGCAGCAGGCTTCAAAAGAACAGCAGGGAAGCTCAGACACTGGCCTGGGAGGGCCCAAAACAGACCCAGTGGATCACCCCCAGAAATCACATGGAGCTCGCCAATAGAGGGGAAGCCCTTTCGGCGGCGAGGATGAAGAGGAACAAACACGATCAACAAAAGATCCCGGGACAGAAACGGATCCTGATGAACACAGGTCCTGGACCCGAGGGGCCTTCCCCCAGGACCAGGTTTTCGTCCTCCGCAGTTGTTTGAAAGATCCAGGGCCCGCCCGAAAACGGCGAAAGACCTCAGAACCACAGGTCCCCTCTGGACTCGCCTGCCTCGTGGCGAAAAAGGACAGGAGGACGACCATTGCAAACACAAGGCTCACCAACGATGTTGCAATAAACCCTCTGTCCAAATTCCTTCGTCATAAATTCCTACAAACACTTATTTTCACTGAGTGAAATGTCCCGTTGGAAGACAACCGCCTGAAAATCCTGAACCGTGCCCAAACACCACTGCTGGGACAACAACGCCACTAATCAAGGAATTTGTTGCGTCCTGACGGTCCCGAATCGTGCCATAATTTCATTCCTGGGACTCTGTGGGATTTAAACATCGTGAATCAATCGTACTGTTGCGCTCTGACAGCAACGCAAACTGTTCCGAAACACCAGATCTGAGACGTCAGCCTTGTAGAGTCTTAAAACGAATGTGCGCGGCGCTACGGCGAGAGCCACATTTTCAAACAGAGCCGCCCTCCATCCATGAAGCTCTTGCGAGCTGTGAAGACGAATGTGCGCAACGCTAGGACGAGAACCACATTTTGAAGACGGCCCGTCCTCCATCCGTGAAGATCTCCCAGCGGCGCTAAGGCGAGAAACACGTTTTGAAAACGGCCCACCCTCCATCCATGATGCTCTTGCGAGCTGTTAAAGCTCAAGTGCGCGGCGTTCGGCAAGAACCATATTTTGATAACTGCCCGCCCTCCACTCGTGAAGCTTTTGCATCTTTCGAGCTCAACAGTCATAAATGGCGAGGGAGTCTCAAGCGAAACGCTAGGTCCACCCTGCCAACGCGTCTCGGGGTGCGACATGGAAGTGGTATGCATAAGGCAAGGGGATGGAGGAGCAGGAGGAGGAGTCATTTACCTGTCGTATCACAACAAGTGCAACAGCACGTCAACTCTGAATGGAAGGATTCTTTAATCAACGACATGTCAACACAAGTGCAATATAATCGGCCACGGCCACGGCCACGGCCACAGCCACGGCATGATCTTGGTCTTGGGATGCTCCTTTGGTCTCGGACCGAGTATGCCCAACTATTCGGGCACCCCTGGTCCAGTTCGCCCTCAGCGTTTCGGCGTGTGACTGGCCATCCTCTTCAGGACCTGCCACAACCAACCATACGGGGCAGGCCGACGCTGTCACGAACGACACCTCTGTTTCCGACTGTGCGAAAACACCACGCGTACCTCTTGAATGCAAAGATACACTGTGTCTGGTCGTGTTTTTGGGACTCCTTCGTACACACCAAAATTGCCAGAAGATGTCAAGCCAGGCTCTGAAAACCTGCTGTGTTGGCCTTCACAGAAGGGAGGAAACGACTGCCCCCTCTTTCGTGACATCGTCGGCACCTGGCGGCTTGGCCGCAGGTGCCCCCTTTTCCCTTGAATGTCCGACCCCCCGCCCCCGTGACCAGAGCACTGGCTGGAGCACAGGACGGCGGAGCCGACTTCGTATCCCGCTTCTCGGGCACCACAATCAGAACGCACGTGCGAAGTCCCCTCTTTGGTAAAGCAACCACTGCTACTACTCTGGCTGATTGGAAAAATGCCGCACCGCCGAAAACGAGCTCTTGGAGAGACTTTCGGCTGATAACCAATAATTTGCCTGTCAGATCACAACAAGTGCAACAGCACGTCAACTCTGAATGGAAGGATTCTTAAAGCAACGACATGTCAACACAAGTGCAATATAATCGGCCACGGCCACGGCCACGGCCACGGCATTATCTTGGTCTTGGGATGCTCCTTTGGTCTCGGACTGAGCATGCCCAACTATTCGGGCACCCCTGGTCCAGTTCGCCCTCAGCGTTTCGGCGTGTGGTTGGCCATCCTCTTCAGGACCTGCCACAACCAACCATACGGGGCAGGCCGACGCTGTCACGAACGACACCTCTGTTTCCGACTGTGCGAAAACACCACGCGTACCTCTTGAATGCAAAGATACACTGTGTCTGGTCGTATTCTGGGACTCCTTCGTACACACCAAAATTGCCAGAAGATGTCAAGCCAGGCTCTGAGAACCTACTGTGTTGGCCTTCACAGAAGGGGGGAAACGACTGGAGGAAGAGGAGGAGGAGGAGGAGGAGGAGGAGGGGGAGGAGGAGGGAGACGACGACGACAAGGACTGCGACCGACCCCTCGATGCCTAGGGTGAGGGGGACCGATGGCTCAGAGGGGGGTGGTGCATCGACCTGGAATCGGCGATGCATCGTCGATAGGCCCCCGGTAGCGAGTCCGCACCCTCTAGGGGGGGCGAGCCATCGGATGCTATCGGGCCCCTGTCGGCGATGAGTTTTGCTGTTCGGTGTCGATGCGTCCCCCCCCGTAACCGTTGCCCCTGAAGCCAGCTGCTAGCCTTCGTCTCAACAGGCCCCAGAAGTCCCTCACCCGTTTTTGACGGTCCTGGGGTCCGAAGATGGCCCCCGGAAGCCGAAATCTATGAAACTCCTGCTTCCGAGAATCACATCGTCGGAGATCAGGGACGGCTGGCCTTTGTCCCCCACCCTTCCCGCCACCACTTCGATCGTTCCGAGCAAGGTTCGGGGGCGAATAGCCCTGGGGGTAACAATACACAAGTATCCAGGGGCGCCGATGCTCCATGCCTTCGGCGAGGCTCCCCGGCGAATACGTGTCATGCCCGCCCCTGGGCTATTCGCCCCTGTGATCGCCTCCAATGCCGGGGGGACTGGCCTGGAAATGTGTCGCGACGACCCCGTCGCTGGTTTCTCCAACGCCGCGAGCGTCGTTCCACCTGGAGCGATCGGCGGTTCTCCGATCGTCAGATCGATCCATCTTGGTCGTCGATTCGGGGCCACCGGCAACCCTTCCACCTTGAACGCCCGCGGCGGGGTCGCCAGCCGAGTCGGCACGACACGACCGTGCCGGAAAGGGGGGACTGGCCCCGTGGGGGGAGGCCTCGGTCTGGAACCCAGACCTCTGGCGGTAGATCCCTACCGTCGCCTCCGAGGGACAGCCACCCGAGCGACGATCGAAAACGGGCCTCACGCGAGATGGCCCCCATCGACCCTGCGCGGTGCCTTTCGCGGGCCGCCAGCGCGGAGCGCTGCTTTGGAGTCGAGGGCGCTGGCGCCAGACCCTGCGCGGGCAGCTCGCGCGCCACTGTCGCGAAGTCGACCCCGTTTTTTGTTTTTTGTTTGTTGTGTGTGCGTGTGTCTCTGTGTGTGTGTGTGTGTTTTTGAAGGGGCCCTGGGACACACAAATAAATACACACAAATAGAAGGATCCCCCGTATTTTCCCATACTTTCTGGATTTTTGTCTTCCCCCCCAGTCCCCATATTTTCCCAATATTTTCCTGGGAGTGGGCGATTACTTGTGTCTGTGTGTTCTTTCCCCTCCTGAGTTTTCGGCGTCGCTCACCCGATGGGGGGCCGGTGGCACGGCACGAGCCTGCCGGCGAGGGGGGAGCTGGCCCAGAGGGGGGGGGAGAGAGACCTCGGCCTGGAGCCCAGATCTCTGGCGCTGCCTCCCAATCCTCCTCCTCCTCCCTCCTCCTCCTCCTCCTCCTCCTCCTCCTCCTCCTCCTCCTCGTCCTCCTCCTCCTCCTCCTCCTCCTCCTCCTCCTCCTCCTCGGGCCGCCTACGGCCCCGGGGGAAGCCCTGCAGACGAGAGTAGGGGAACAAGCAACGACATAAACATAACCACCCGGAGGTCCGCGCGGATTCCTCGGGGCGGCGCTGGAGGCGCCGACGGGGGGCCCCAGCGCCGATCCGAGGAATCTGCGCGGACCTCGGAGCTGTTATGTTTATGTCGTTGCTTGCATCATTTAAAGCATCCCCATCCCCACTCGCGTGGCCTGGGCCCCATTGGCCCGTTTACCCCCTAGACGGGGATATAGGCAGTTTCTGCCAGACTTCGAAGGGTATATCCCCAACTGGGGGGATGAGATGGTGGGGGTCTGGATGGGGATGGGGATGGGGATGGGGCTCGGTTCAACGATCCTGACCTCCGAAGGGCAGCCACCCGATGGGGGCCGGCGGCAGTGGCCTGCAGGCCCTGGGATGCTATGTCGGTCCGCCGCCGGCGCGCCAGGCCCGCGGAGCGCGCGCGCGGGCCCACCCGCGGCCGCCGGGCGTGCCTCCGAGGCTTCTCGAGGCGGTGCGGCCACACCCGAGGCTCGAGGCGCGAGGAGGATGCATCCTTCGAGGATCGAGGTGCGAGGATCGAGGCTCGAGGATCGAGGCTGGAGAAGCGAGGAGGATGCATCCTTCGAGGGTCGAGGTGCGCTGATCGAGGTGGTTCGAGATGCGAGGAGGATGCGCAAGCGGCGGCCGCATCCGCATCCATGCTCTCGCAGACTTCGGGGAAGCGGTCCCGCGGACGTGTCCCGTGTCCCTGTGGTCGCTTCCCAGAAGGCGCGGGCCCTACATCGACAGACCAGGGCCGCGCCTTTTGTACAAGAGAAAAGCATGTACACATGAACTTTTGGCGCTCCGCGCGGATTTCTTGGATCCGCGCTGGACCCCCCTCCCTGGCACGCAGAGCGCGCCAGGGGCGGCGCCGGAGGCGCCGCTAGGGGGTCCCAGCACGGATCCAAGAAATCTGCGCGGAGCGCCAAAAGTTTATGTTTATGTGTTTCTTCTACGAATTTAAGAAGCAGCCTCCTTCAGAGAAGCCTTCCCCCCTCCCCCCTACCCCCCCATCTGAGCGTGGCGGCTCAGACCTGGAGGATCGAAGCCTCAGGCTTCCCAAAGGCTTTGTTTGCATTCACTTCGACCTCTGGCGGCCGTTTTCGGAACCCGCGGGCTGTCAGAAACGGACCCGGGACAGAACAGCCTGCAGGGGCCGTGGGTTGCAGAGACTACTTCGTCGGATACCTCGGGCTCGGGATATTGTGTTGGATGTCTCTGGGCCTTGTTGAGGCTGCTGACAGGCTCCTCGTCGCCACGGGAACGATTCGTGTAGCGGATGTTGCGACGGTCGGGTGTCAGCTTGTTGTTTGCCTCCGGAGCCCCTGTTACGCCCAAAAGACTGCCAGCACACGACCCAGGATCAACAGCCAACTGGACCCATGTTGGGCGGTGCTGGACGAATCACCGTCGAATCGGGGACTCGGATCGAATCAGAATGTGCGTCAGATCGCGCTGTGTTGGCACGGAATCGAATCGGATCGGCTGCGCCAAGATGCACAACAACGCTGTGCAAACATTGGGCCGCATCGGACCGGCGGAACACTGGGATCGAACCGATCACTATCGATATCGAAGGACCCAAACGAGGTATCGATGTCGATCGATATGGAATCTGGAGAGACAAAAAGCTACCGATACCGCTACTCCCCGGACCTCTCCCAGGGTGCGCTCTGACCAGGATTTCGAGGCGAATCCAGCGGTGGCAACGAGGGCCTCCGAGGAGGCCCAAAAGAGGGAAAACGGGCGAAGGGTAGAGGTATGGGTACCTTTTCCTCCTCCGAGAACCTGCATGAATCGGCATCGATATCGGATCGATTATCGGACCCAACCGGCCATGATCGACATCGGGCCAGAGCGGCGGGATCGGAGTGTCGGGAGCGGCCAAGAGGGGGGTGTCCAAGAGGGGGGGGTGCCAACCATGACCGGCGGCATGTGCGCGGCCCAGCGGGGGGGGCCAGGGACGTAATGAAATAAGAAGAGGCGCCATGAAATCTGGGGAAATATCATGGCCCCCGCCATGATATCCCCCCCCCCTAGTCATCACCCCCCTCTTTGCCGCCCCCGTTTTCCCCTTCGCGAGCAGCTGCAGGCTGGTGCTGCCGGAGCGTGCCGGGCAAACCCAGCACCGCGCGACGGACGGGCCTGCCGCAGGCAAGCCGGCGCGCGAAGGCCGTGTCGCCTGCAGGAGAAGCTGAGGGTGCCTCCTCCTCCTCCTCCTCCTACTCCTCCTCCTCCTCCTCCTCCTCTTCCTCCTCCTCCTCCTCCTCCTCCTCCTCATCATCACCCCCCTCTCCTTAGGTCAACGCCCCGACTGCATGTTCATAGCCTGCCGCTCCTCGACGAGCAGGACGGAGCGCACCAGCACCGGCGGCTGCGGCGGCGGCAGGAGAGGCGGAGGCAGCAGCAGCAGCAGCAGCAGCAGCAGCAGCAGCAGCAGCAGGGCGCGTGCTCCTTTCTGCGACGCCTGATCCCCGGGCTTTGCCCTCTCTTGGCCTTGACGTGAGGCCCCTCCGTCTGCCTTCCCCCCTCTGTTACTTAAAGCTGTGCGCGGCCCGCTTAGCTTCGACCGGAAGAGGTTCGCTCTCGCCCCGCAGATCAAAAAAAAAACTTCCTTTCTGCGAGGCAGCGGCCACTCAGTCAGGTGACGGCCTCCGCGATGACTTTCGGAATCCCCAACGACACCACCGCGCGGTCCGTTAATTGCCACACTGGCCTGGGGCCCTGGAGGGGCCCCGGTCTTGCCCGAGAGGCGCCCTCGGAGCCCGACCCGGGCCCCACAACCGCGTGGGGACCTCGAGTTCCCCACTGACTCATCGCGCGGTGTGGTCAGCACACCATCCGTCGCTCGGACGTCCATTTCCCGTGCATTTTTCGATTTCGTGCGTGTTTTGCTCGATGGTCCAAGATGCTCCTCAAGGGTCCTCGCCAAAAAATGCAACGTCCGAGCGATGCCAGGCATTGGGGAACCCCGGATCCAGCCGCCTGGCGAACCGGAGCTCCCAGGACCCCAGGAAGCGGTGGATATGAGCACTCTCGAGCTCTATGGGGGAGAGGGGGGCAGAGAGATCCACATCATCCATATCCGCCGGACCCCCTGTGGGGCCACCAGGCTGTAGGCCGGAGGTTCGCAGTTTCCTGTACCAGTTGCAGCTCCCAGTTTCCACTGTTACAGTTCTGCTTCTTGCTGCTTACTGTTCCTTGTTGATTTCTTGCTGCTTACTGTTCCTTGTTGATGGACCGCGCGAGGGGGGGAGGCCCAAAACGGTCATTTCTACCACGCCCAAATCATATTGTCTGAATTGCTGGGGTGGGTAAAAGTTGACACCCCTCACGCAGATCGGCAGGGTCAGGGTCCAAAAACACAAGGGATTTGCCACACTTCTGAAATTCGGCGGCACCCCTCACGCAGATCGGCGGGGTCAGGGTGTAAAAACACATGGGATTTGCCACACTTCTGAAATTCGGTGGCACCCCTCACGCAGATCGGCGGGGTCAGGTCCAAAAACATAAAGAATTTGCCATAGTTCTGAAATTCGGTGGCACCCCTCAAGCAGATCGGCGGGGTCAGGGGGTCAGGGTGCAAAAACACAAAGGATTTGCCACATTTTGGAAATTCGGTGGCACCCCTCATGCAGATCGGCGGGGTCAGGGTCCAATTAGCCTGGCGAAAGACCCAACCATAAGCAATTGTTAATACCGCAATTGTGGGCATCATCTTCGGTGGAGCTCCCTATGGGGCCACGAACCGTGTGAGGGGTGCGTCAAAATGGGGCGGGGCCGCCATGCGGACCCTGCCACTGGGCCTTCGGTGGAGCTCCCTATGGGGCCACGAACCGTGTGAGGGGTGCGCCAAAATCGGGCGGGGCCGCCATGCGGACCCTGCCACTGGGGCCTTCGGTGGAGCTCCCTATGGGGCCACGAACCGTGTGAGGGGTGCGCCAAAATGGGGCGGGGCCGCCATGCGGACCCTGCCACTGGGGCCTTCGGTGGAGCTCCCTATGGGGCCACGAACCGTGTGAGGGGTGCGCCAAAATGCGGGGCCGCCATGCGGCCACTGGGGCCTTCGGTGGAGCTCCCAATGGGGCCACGAACCGTGTGAGGGGTGCGGGGCCGCCATGCGGACCCTGCCACTGGGGCCTTCGGTGGAGCTCCCTATGGGGCCACGAACCGTGTGAGGGGTGCGCCAAAATGCGGGGCCGCCATGCGGACCCTGCCACTGGGGCCTTCGGTGGAGCTCCCTATGGGGCCACGAACCGTGTGAGGGGGGCCAAAATGCGGGGCCGCCATGCGGACCCTGCCACTGGGGCCTTCGGTGGAGCTCCCTATGGGGCCACGAACCGTGTGAGGGGTGCGCCAAAATGCGGGGCCGCCATGCGGACCCTGCCACTGGGGCCTTCGGTGGAGCTCCCTATGGGGCCACGAACCGTGTGAGGGGTGCGCCAAAATGCGGGGCCGCCATGCGGACCCTGCCACTGGGGCCTTCGGTGGAGCTCCCTATGGGGCCACGGAACGCGTGAGGGATGTGCCGAAACAGAGACATGCGGAGGGCAGAGGCAAGGGGGAGGGAGGAGGGGGAGGGGGCAGCGGGAGGAAGGAAGGAGGAACGCGGGGCACCGTCTCTTCAAAACGAGGACCCAACACCACAGGATGGTTGGGAAAAACACAAGGGATTTGCCGCACTTCAGAAATCCGGTGGCACCCCTCAGGCAGATAGGCGGGGTCAGGGTCCAAAAAACACAAGGGATCACATTTCTGAAATTCGGTGGCACCCCTCACGCAGATCGGCAGGGTCAGGGTCCAAAAACATTGGCCTGGCGAAAGACCCAACCATAAGCAATTGTTAATACCGCAATTGTGGGCATCATCTTCGGTGGAGCTCCCTATGGGGATGCGCCAAAATGGAGCGGGGCCGCCATGCTGACCCTGCCACTGGGGCCTTCGGTGGAGCTCCCTACGGGGCCACGAGCCGCGTGAGGGGTGCGCCAAAATGGGGCGGGGCCGCCATGCGGACCCTGCCACTGGGGCCTTCGGTGGAGCTCCCTATGGGGCCACGAACCGTGTGAGGGGTGCGCCAAAATGGAGCGGGGCCGCCATGCGGACCCTGCCACTGGGGCCGTCGGTGGAGCTCCCTATGGGGCCACGAACCGTGTGAGGGGTGCGCCAAAATGGGGCGGGGCCGCCATGCGGACCCTGCCACTGGGGCCTTCGGTGGAGCTCCCTATGGGGCCACGAACCGTGTGAGGGGTGCGCCAAAATGGAGCGGGGCCGCCATGCGGACCCTGCCACTGGGGCCGTCGGTGGAACTCCCTATGGGGCTACGAACCGTGTGAGGGGTGCGCCAAAATGCGGGGCCGCCATGCGGACCCTGCCACCGGGGCCTTCGGTGGAGCCCCCTACTGTGGTGAACTTGGGTGGTTGTAAGATTTAGCAGACTTAGCAAGTTGGTTTCGGAACTTACAAGTT